ATTAATAAAATTAAAAATTTAAAACAGTACGAGTGAATTATTTCCCATTTCTTAAACAGCATAAATTTTATGACTACATACGATGTCGTTAGCAAGAAATAATGAAGCTATATCATTTTTGTTGGAAATATAATTCAAACAAATACTTACAGTCACTATCGTAATTGTTGCTAAGTCTAATTGCTTGTTCTTCGACGCATTTTTCTCCCGATTCCTGCTTAGACTTTCTTTTTCAATTTAGTATATTTGTCCCGCAAAGCTTCCCATGACCGTTGAATTCCTGTCTTTGACACAATAACAACTTTAAATTCCGAAGTTACAGTATAGGACTGTTGATTTCTCAAGACATTAGTTCTTCTACTAAATCCACTAGTTCGGCTCCTTCTCAACTAAAACGTTTAGCGACCGATAAAATGAAAAAGAAACTTTTGAAATTAAACGACATTATGTGGGTACAAAAAAAGCTTTCATACTTTCACCCAAACTATTATTTTCGTGTATAACTGGTTGAATTGGTGCAGGAAACGTCCTATTTTATTGAATAGGTTTATTGGTCATGATCGAGTATCGAAGTATCGAATTGGGATAGTTTAAAAAATATTTTTTTATTTTTTTTATAAGACACCTTTAAGATTAATTGCACAGATAATGATTAGTATTATTAGGTCAACATGCAAAATATAAATCCTTTTTACTATACAAACTTGACGAAAAGACCCATACATATATTAAAATGATAATATACAAAAAATAAAAAATTGATTGGACATTGCTACAATGTACTGTAGATAAGATATTAAAATACGTAATATTTATAATTCTTAATTTTAAGAAGTGGAATTTTGACATATAGTCATTAAATAAACAATATTTTGTGGGTGTTCCATTATTTTCTTAATCAAAAAAGTTAAACAGAAACATAAGTATAAAAAAAGCATATTTTATCGCATGCAGTAATAAGCCACATCGACGTTATTTCAAATCTAAGTCTAAAATAATTGCTCCATAGCTTCTGGGATATTATAGGAAATTTCAGAAACAATATTCACTAATCTCGTTCACAATATCTGAAAATTATTGTTAGTTGATTCGAACGATTTTACTGTTCCAGCTAAAATATAAAAAAACTCAATAAAATATTTTTACTAGATGTGGTCACATATTTGCTTTACTTTAATATCTTCGTTTGAAAGAGGTTGAATGTTTTTTTCTTGGACACGGGCTTTGATACAAATTTTATCGTTTCTTCAGTATTCATATGTATATGCGTGTATTTGGAGCAAATATTATTCTGTGATTCGGTATAATTCGCAAAATTGTTGGTTTATTCTTTATCCAATCATGATTTCTTTCCTTATATACACATATTGATCTTTTACTGGTAATTTTTAAGTTTTGATACAACCTGATTTTATACAGCTTCGATCATTCTGTCTTATCGCCACATAAAACAAACTTTTGTGTATTAAAATGCAAATATGTTTAAACATATTCGATTCTATATATTCTATATACATATATAAAAGTTTGATCTGCAGCAATTAAGTTGAAACCGAACTTTCGGACTAAAAATTAAAGTTTAAACAGGCGTTAAAACAAATGTTTGGAGTTCATTAACGAAAAATTTTTAATATATTCGTAATAAGAAGTAATACGTTTCTTTTCTTTTTGTGTTAAAAGCACATAATTTACTAGTAAAATCGAGAAACAAGATAAAAAGAATTCAAAAGCATTTATTTCGGCGCTTTTATCGCAACTAAAGATAATTGGACTTAGTGTAGTACTTGCAGTGCAATGTAGTGTAGTGTAGTCCAATGATATTAAATAAAGTACTCAACGATTATTGCTCAACCCTCCGCACTGCTGTTGAAATGCATTTACTCAACTAACGAACGATTTGAAATTTCGAACTAATGTAGCCAGCCACTGTACAGAGCTTGATACTGTAGCCAGCTACTGTAGCTTAATCGTGCGTTGGCCATTAAGCTACAGTCGCTGGCTACAGTATCAAGCTCTGTAACTCTGAGCATAATTTTGCGTTGCAGAACATATAAAGAGTACCACAAAGCTACAATTTTGTTAACAACAAAGAGTTACCATCTTTAGGTTCTGAAGAATTTATGAAGCTCAGTAAAACAACTATAGTTGCCCTACACAAATTCGACGTTCTTTTATAATCCTCATATAAATTTTTTTAATAAATATTGAAAAAGGTAATATCTTGACCGGTAATTAAATATATATTCTCGGTGAACGTATATTAATTTAGCATAGAAAATGACAAGTAAATAATTAAATATTTTGGTAATAAATCTATATAGCTGGAGGGTTATAACGTTAGTATTTTTAATTAATTACGGTTATATGGTTAAGTATCCGTATAAACGTTTTAACATAGAAAGTTTAGACACTGTTTGAGAACTTGTTTATCCGTGCGTGTATTGTAAAATTAGCTTGATTTAATGTGCGCTAAAATGTCATATAATCAGATATCGGATAAAAGTAACTATTGCATTTTATTACTTTTTTTAATTATTTGTGCCACTGTTATTGAAAAAATGAAGGATTTATAGATAAACCAAGTTCCCAACGCAGGAGATACTTAATAAAATAAATAATTTGTAATTTGTATCCATTTTCAGATTTTCTGCACATATGTTTGTGGCTATAAATTTTAATTTTTATGCCACAAAATAATTGTAATTCTTCTTGATTTTACAAATTTAATAATCTATATATTTAATTTAAGGAATTTGTAGTTTCAACTAAGTTAATTCAAAACGACAGTGATAATACACAAAATGCCTTAAATTTTTTCCCAATTGGTGATCGTGGCAGTAATGGACAGTCTTCGACATCTAATGTGGATCGCAATGGCATCATGTTTTTTACTCAAGTACACCGTGATGAAATTGGGTGCTGGGATACATCCAAACCATATATACGCGAAAATCTAAAATTTTTGGCGAACGAAAATGAAAGCAACATGTCACGTTTAATACAATTTCCGAACGACTTAAAAGTTGATCAAGAGTATGAGCAAAACATATGGGTTATGAGCAACCGCCTACCCATATTTTTATATAGCCAGTTAGATTTTAATGATATAAATTTCCGCATCTTACGCGCCAATATTAACAAGGTCACTACCGGCACTATATGCGATCCCAGTATCAGAGCAAGTACGAAGCTCAAAACTGCTACACTGAATGAGGGGCAATGCCTATGATGTGGACACGTGGAAGAAGAATTTCTTAAAATCTATATTTTTATAACAGTTGAAAGCAAAATTAATAAAATTATCACATTATAATTATAAATTTGTATTTAAATTTTTATTAAATAAAACGAATATTTTTTTTAAACTACGAGTACAACGCATCACTATTGGAGAGAATAAATATCTTGATATGCCTTTCAATTATTTGCATAAAGCAACTTGTTGTGCTACTGAAGCTAATCACGACAATTTTTATACGCATACGAGTGTATAATATTGTGCAGAATCAAGTAAGTTTTATTTATCTTAACTACTTTAGTCAACTAGAAAGATAAAAAGTATTATTTTAAGAGTCCCTGAAAAATCATATTTATTATATTTTATTATAGTTAGCAAAGTAAACAGAAAAATGTTTATAAATTCAAGATGTCATTGGCATTCTTTGCTAAATAAGATACGTTATTATGGATTCAATTCTATACCGGGTTGACCGTATAGTTTATATATAAACTGTTCGTCTGATTTTCTTCAACGATTTGAAAGCCTGTGTGATAAGACATTAAATTCTGTTTATTATTGTTTATTTAGTTTTTATTTGGTTGGCATATGAAAAACAGTAAATATTTACTATATGATATTATAATCAAAGACATTTTTTTACATTTACTCAGTACAGGCATTCAACGGCACCCTGTAGAGTTATGGCATCCATCAAATTTAGCCAAGACTAATCACTACTATTACTACTATTTGTAGTGATGATAGTCTTGTGAATAGTCTTGTGATTGCAAATGATATTTGTACGTAGAATTAAAAACCTACCTGATCTAGTAACATATCTCACTTATCTTATCTATCAATTCACATTCTTACTGTTTGTAGGGTACAAGATTGAAAAATTAATAAAGGAGTAGGCTTTTGTTATCTACTTGCTGGATTAATGTTTCATTCCTAGTTTTGATACTTCTGCTTTATTACGTTTGCTTTATTTAATTTTATCAGTTTGTTAATTGCTTAAGAAACATGAGATGCAGTCGGGTTGTGTCAGTGATGTGAGAAGTTGATGTACGGACTTAACTTTTGTAATAAGTGTTATGACTTGCTGAGTCATTATTGAAATATTACTTATAGTTTTCTTAAACAAAAACAATGAACGTGAGCGCTCACATTAGTTTCGCTATTGTACTACTTCTTTCTATGTGGTCGAAGTTGTCCATAGCGCTGGAAAACGGTAAGTAGGAAATAAGAGTGCAGGCGAAGCTACAAGCAACTGATTTGACTCTAATAATTTATCTCAAAAGTATTTGCATTATATTAAAAAATTTCACTGAATGACTTTCAGATGATATTTTAATGTTTAAAATAGTTTAAAAAATGTGCCTGTAAAATGTCTTATTACCCAAATAATTGACTGGAAAGTAACAGAAATTATTATACTTAGTGCTAAAATAATATTAATAGATTGCAATGAATTTTACTATTCTATGCTATTTCTATGGATTAAGTATGATGTTATAGACATTTGCAGTGGAAGTCTTTTGAGGTTTACTTATGGTGAACCCACGCTGAGCAAAAAGAATGCGCGAAGCTGAATGGCGATATCTTCATGCTTGGCATTCTGATATTTGAAGATGCCAATGATACTAAGGAGCACAGTTATATTTCCTATATGTAAGGTGCAATGATATCGTGATGCTGAAATAAAATATTGATAGTTATTTTAATACGATTTAAACGACTGGAAGAATACGCCAATTTAGCTGTTTTGCCAATGATGTAAACAGCATCAAATGTTAGGCGCAAGGAAATAGCAGTGTTCATTATTAGTATATATTAGATATAAGCAATATCACCTTCAGGCTTTTAAAATTTCTTTTTCACCATCGAAATAATATTGACTTTATTTCCATCTCCACGCTTAAAATCTTTCGACATAGATGCATTTAACATTATATCTATTGCAGTATTCTTTGTTCGGCAAATCTAACAATTTTTTTTTTTTTTGACTTTACTCATACAAATAGACCCGTCAGAGATAACTACTGACATTTAGCCAATGATTTCAGATATTTTGAAGGTATTGAAGTGGATTGGAAAGAATTATAAGTTTGCTGTGAAATTTTATGCAAAGGATGTTCTTCATCTATAACACAATATTTCGTACCTCTGCATATTTCTGATTTCAAAATAAGCGAGCAATTGATGGCAATAATTGATGGTTTCAATTTAATATATTCGGAATTACCATATGTATTAATAATGTAGACTATCCCTTGTTAACAATTTTATTTTAATGTGTCAATGTATAGCCTTATTATCAACTTCAGTATATGAAGATAAAAGTAGACCGATTTTGGAAAAATAAGGCTGTTGAAAAATAGTTTTTTCAAAAAATAGTATATTCTCTGTAGTGATAGGTAAATTTTTTGCATTGGCATCATAGTGTACTCGTTAAGGTTTGGATTAAGACTAGTTTTTATTTATCTAACTATAATTTACCAGCTTACAAGCTAACTTAACTATTATTCAAATTATGCTCTCTTATTTTCCATTCTTATAAAGAGTTTATTCTATTTGTATAGAAGCTTAAAATCTACAAGCATAGTGCTCTGATACTCGAAGTTGAACGTTGCAATAATTCTTAATGACTTCGCACACATTATGCAAAAAATCATTTCTAAAGTTCATATCGCAATTATCCTGTCAGTGATTTCGCAGCCATGAGTTGAACCTACATAGATATATATTAATCGCATTAAAGATTGCTAGATTTACATCTGCTAATAGTAGATGACTATAAGTGTACGAAAATTGCGCGTGTGTACCAGACCAGATAGTATTTTAAGAATACTGTTTTCAACGTTTGTTGTACCAAGACTACTTTTAATTCCGGTTTCATCCATTTGGTACTTAATAATTGAGTCTTATAATGATATTGTTAAATAATTATTTGCGACAGTTTCCAGATGTAGGAAACAAGTTACTCCTGTTAACAAAGAATTCTTTTTGACTGGACTTCAAAACTCTCAGAAACGTAATTTAAAGATTGATATATTATGTTAAAGCCACTAAGTAAGTTATTTATCAAAGGAATACGTATCATCGTCGACTGCTTTAATAATTTTTATCTATTTTCTGCTTCCAAAAAACACTCCATCCTAGAAGTTATAATTGTGACTACTTTATCATAAATAATGAAAATGAAACGAATTAGATAAAATGTACATAGACATATTTTTTTTCTTCAATATTGACTATTTTTATCATTTTAAATCTAAGGTAACGAAAGGGTATGCCATGGGGTAACATGGCATTATAAGAAGTAACACCTGAATATCTTCTATTATGGTAATTTATATAAAGCATTGAAGTTTAGCAATATACTCAGTATCATAAATAAATAATTTTAAAGAATGCAAACAAGTCATCAGATAATTATCAACAGATAATAGTAGATACTTTAAAAAGCATTATTTCTATATGGAAGTACAGCCTAACTTGAGTAGTAGGTCAACAATTTTTTTTAACTTAAACTATTAATATTTATTAATGATTAATAATTATGTCAAAATTATTGTTGTAATTTGTATAGTTGTTGCAGTATTAATATTTACTAATAATTAATATTTAAAAATCACAATTACTACTTTGATCAAAACTTAAGTATATTTAATACTTGCATATTTTCTTATATGAAAAATCGAATTTTTCAAATTTTCCTATCTAATCATCACTACACCTAATCAAACTTAACTTCAATTCCTACAGAAATTGCTCTGACGTAACTTTCAAATCTTTATATCTACTTAGTCCTAGAACAAGACAAAGTAAAGAACAATTTGATAGTCCAGCATTCATTTTTTTCATTTCTAAGGACGTGTGCGAGTTAGGCTAAAATGTCTTCCTTACATATCACACAAAGATACCTATTTTCTAATAAATAATAATAATTCTTATATGACTCCGTGATGCCATATGCTATCATAGAAATGTTATTTATTATTCTATACACCTGTTGAATTGCAAAATAAGGCTTTCTGGATCCTTACCATTGGTTAGAAATAAGATTGAATTGTTAAATCCAATCAATAAAAAATATTTTTTCAAAAAGCTTTAAAATGGAGATAAGCCTATTGATCTATATATTTGTTGTATTTTCGTTCAGTTTAGATAATGAAATTTTACCTACTTTCTACACTTTCCGATAGTATTTTGTAACGACCTTTCTGGCCCTCTCTCTACAGCTAGGGTATAACTCAACGAGTATACCAGGGTTTGTTATAAGAAATTTATATATATAATAAAAAAGAAAAGAATGAAACACTTCTGTCTTGTGTTTTGTAGTAGCGTTTATTATTCGTCTTAAATTGAAGTTATAAATTGCAACAGAGTAATGTCAAAGGCGTAAGTGTTGAAAGCGTTGCGATCCTTCTAAGTCTTGCAATCGTTGCGAGCGTAGGAATCGTTGAAGTCGTTGTAGTATTACAATCGTTAAATGCATTGTATGCGTTGCAATCGTTGAAGGCATTGGAGGCGTTGAAATCGTTTTGATCAGTGGTGTAAAAACCTTGAACAGAAGAAATTGCAAATAGCAAAAAAAGAACAAAACTTTAGAGTAAACTCGCTAATAATACAATCCAGACCTTGTAAGCAATAGTCAGGCAAAGATCCCTTCCCGATGTTACGCCTGGCCATGCTCGTCAGCAATCACCAAACGCTCGTAGAGTTACACGTATTCTAACAGTGTCGGTGACTTGTCATCCATTTCTCCATTAGCTATGGCTAAATTGAAGTCTGGATAACTGGTGAAATTACACTATGCCAGCATAAGCCAAGCAGAAGTTCACTCAACTGGTCACTTCACCCAAACCAGTTCATCCTAGACCAACTAGTCCGAGCTCTCACAGCTTTCCCTAACATAATCGACTTACCTTGAACAGAAGAAATTCCAAATAGAACGATTTGGCAATTTTGCTGCTCTTTTTATTTGAAATTCCTCAAATTCAATAAAAATAGCTGCGTCACATAAAAAATGCGTGCACAATATATTACTAAATTTGTTTATGCAGATAAA